TTGCTCATATATATTTCACACCATTACTTATGTTGATTGATAAGAACATGTGAGGATGTTGTTAACTTATTTATCATACAAACTTTCAAATACGCAGCAAATCATACACAATTCTATTTATAAGTCTCAGATAAATTTAAAAAAAAGTTGTGTTCAACATTCTCTCTCCAAGATACTTCACACTGAGCAGGAGGTAAGAGCAAGTAATTCGAGCAACATAATTTGTCAGAAAAACTAGTAACAAATGCTCACATATCTATCTTAATAAAATAAACCAACAAAGAAATTTGAAACAAACAGATGAGCGTTGCTCATATATTTCATCACATTTTTTTTTTTTTTTTTTGATAAAACAAGAAAGGGCTAACTTGTCTATTATACAAATTTCAATTGTGTAGCAAATCATATGTAATTCTACTTGTAAAAGTATTATATAAAGTAAAAAAAATAAGCAGTGCTCAACATTCTCCCCCCACAATATTACTCCATACTGAAAAAGCAAAAGCAAACAATTCGACCAACATAATTTTTTAGAAAAACTGAAAATCGGTGCTCATATAACTATCCAAACAAAATAAAACAACAAAGAAATCTGAAATAAACAAGTGAGCATTGCTCATATATATTTATTGCTTCTACAGATGGATCAGAACAGGTAAAGATGTTGCTAACTAATCTATCTTGCAAACCTCAAATTTGCATCAAAACATATGCAATACGCCTAGAATGCCAAAATTTTCACAGAAGAAACAAGAAATGCAGAGGTAGGCAGCGAATGAAGCTTAGAAAAAAAAAATCATGGAGAAGAAAACTTCACCTGAAGGTTGCAGCAAGTTGTCGGCGTCGAATGGAGGAAGGGGAGCGAAACCGGGTTTCAGCCCTGACGATATGGGTAAGAAAGGAGTGACAAAGATATATGCAAGGATATGGAGTGGGATTACCAGAAATCCGAAAGGGCAGCAACATCAAATGCACTTCGCAACGGAGCTCCAGCCGCGGACTGCACCCTCCTTCCATTTCCGCGTTCAACTCGATGTGGCCCCCGACCGACGTAACGCTAGTAATAAAAAGGGAACCAAACGCCACTTCTGCTTCTCCGAGGCATAGAAGCCACAAAAAATTCATAGCCATGGAGTCCCAAACGGGCGCTTAACTATGGTAGAAATATTTTACAATGTGATTTTGGAGATAATCAAGTAAAACTCACCAAATCACACAACATTTTTTTTATAGAAGGGATCTTTCTCATCCTCACTTTTCTTCTAGCCTATTTTTCTTTAACTAGTTTCAAAGCCAGATATAAGCTTACGAGATGAATCCGATGGAAAATGTTTTACATGCTAGAAAGATGCAAATAAAAAAATGCCTTCCTTAAAAAAAGCTTTGTCTACATCTTTGGAATTAGAATTGAAATCTATGAAGTAAGAAGATTAGGATGACTTGGATAGATATGCATTAATAGTTGGACAGCTATCAATTAAGAACATTGCCTTCACATTAATATATGAAAACACCTTAAATAGTGATGATACCTATATTAGATACACAATAGAGCTACCAAAAACAAACAAGTTAATTTTTATGAAAATAATTATCTCAAAATGGTAAAAAGTGCCTCTATTATAAAACATATCAACAAATTCAGTTTGATCATGTGTTAGTTGAGTTAATTCAACATTGCATATAGGGCAAGACTGAAACAGAAAGAGAGAGGGAGGGAGGAAGGGAGGAAGGGAGAGAGCTGTATATGAGTGGGGTTGAGGGAGACAACCATTGCCAAAGGGGAAGACATGCGAGAGGAGGGAGATTGAAAGTGAGAAAAATATAATCGATGGCTATAGTATAAGGTGCTAGGATGGATAGAAGAGTGGGCATAAAAATGGAAGAGGGAGGTCACGAAATGATTGGGAAAAAGAAATAAAAAAACAGACAGCAGGGGCGATTCAAAGAAAGAGAGATAACATTGTGCATAGATGAAATTGTTTAGGTAAAGCAAGCCACTAAAGTACTGGGAGTGGGCTTAAGTGTAAAGGATGTTGGCACTGGACACCAAGTAGAGAAAAAAAAACAAAAACAAAAACAAAAAACTTGGGATTTGGCTCGAGATAGCCATATGTAGACATAAGTTGACCAAAGGTGATTGCATGATGTGTTATTTATTGGTTTCCTATGATGTAAGCATGCATTTCATATGAGGATGGAACAGTAACAGTACCGTATCAAGTTAGCTTCAAACCTAATCCGTGAAGCTAAAATATCTCCACCCCCACTTCCATTAAGTTATTTTGATGTGAAATAAAAATGAAAATAACAATAATTAAAATAATATCATATATAGTTTGACTTGGATGATAATTTGTTCGAGCTTAACTAGTAGCTAATTAATCCAATGCCTATAAATTAAAATTTTATTTGGGTAAAGGATTAATTAAGCCAATTTAAGATTACGTTTCTTAATCGATGGTAAATTTTTGCTTTTAATCATTTATTTAATAAGGAAAAACTAAAAGGTCTGTTTCTAAAAAATATGTTTTCTTAAACAACTTAATTAATCGCTTGATAATTAATCAAGGACCAGGATTCCAACTTCACTAAATATAATCCAAACATTACCATTTTCAAGATTAAAAAAGCTAAAGAAAGTCCTTTAAATGCCCTAGGACATCTCACAAAGGTTCATTTTTGTATTCTTGTTGAATTTTACACTAATCATTAACTAATCCCTATTCTAAGTGTACAAAGATAGGTTTAATATACAATAAAATGTTTTATTGTCAATCAATAAAAGATGATGGATGAAGCATGTTGCATGTTATGAGAAGATTAAATGAAATTTTGTTAAGTCTAAGAAGGAAGAACAAGCTCCTAAGTTTAAATTTCTCTCTCTTACACAATTATGTGAGCAAGCTAGGGAAGTCTTACTAGATTAATAAATCAAAGTACTTTGAAACACATTAGAATCCCATTTTATTATTTTAGACATTTGGAATTCCTCAAAAGCCTTTTGATGGTATGAGCCACATGGAAGAGACAGTTCAATATGAACGTGTAAATTCATTTGAGCTTGGTCAGCACTCTTTCGGTACCTATGTATAATCTTGGGATCAAGTTTATTTTGAACTTGACAAACTGAACTTGATTGATCTTAATAGAATAGGAATATAGGAAGCTGCTTGTTAAGGCCCTTTATTTTCCTTATTATGATTTTAACAAGATCAAATCACATCATTCGAGACTTTTATCTCTTTGATAATATCAGAAAAACTCTTGGACATTCAACTACATTAAAAAAATTCAAGTCTAAAAGATCATTACGTACTTATGGGTTGTAATTCCTTAAGAACAATAATCCTAGGATTTAGTTTATCATCCAATCTATATCTAAAAGTAAAAACAAAAGAGTGAAGCAACTAATTAATCTCCCAAGAATCTTCAAGTAAATTTAAAACTAGGGGGCATGAATTTACAACTTTGGGAAGCATAAGATAGCTTTTTCTTCCCTCTTATTTGTCTCCCTAGTTTGTTTTATCAAAATCACCCAAGAGCTAGCCCAAAAATACTTTTGATACTCAAGTAAACGCAATGCCTTTCTGGGCAAATATTCTCCCATGCTTCAAACTCTCAACATCCTTCTCGTTCCATCACATGCAAATCATTTTAATAAGTTATCCCAGACTTCAAAAGCTGGTCCATTTAAGAGAACAGGACTTTTCTCACTTAAAAGCAACATCTTTCTTGTACATAGATTTTCTTGACATAATGTAAACTTAAGTTCCTTGTTTCCAACTTTCATATATTCATAAAATTTAATGCCAAGCCCAAATAGTCCACAACATTTAAAATAACATTATTTCTCTTATGTGGGCATTATTTTCAATTGAAAATCAAAATTTAAAGTTTTATCTAAAGTTTTAAGGCTTTAAGCTACTAGAGCTAAGATTTTGTAAATTAAAAAATTGAGCTCATAAGGCTCATTACTTCAGTTGATAAATTATTTCTTTTTTCTTAAATCATAATTTAACATTAAATCATTTTCCTTCAATTTTCTCAAAAACCATTTTTAAGTATAGTAGCTTAGTATGTATGGTGTCCTTCTCTATTTGAGTTGTATTGTTGTTGCTAGTTGGTCTAACATTATCTCCACTACTTATTATTATAAAGGGTTCATCTCCAAATTTGAAGAGTGTAAGGGTTTTACTTATTTAGCCTTGAAAAGAAAGTAATTTGAGAATTATTTTATCGCATGACAATGATTTTGCGCTCACACCATGCGCCTGAAACACAAGTTGTGATGATCTTGTGCTTCATCCACGAAGAAGCCAAGATTGTGGTTTGAACAACCAAACTACTAAATCCAACAAATCGATGTCATTTTGGCATGTCCTACACTTAACCCTCACTATTTTTTCTCTTCATTTGCATTACTTTCATTCAATACTTGTCAGGATTACTCATACCCTTGCACTCTCAGAGAAAAACGATTTAACACAAATCTATTTTACCTCTTTATTTACTCTACACTTCACTCTTTGATTTTAACATAAATGTCACTTTTGGCTTCTTGTTGTTGTTGTTGGAAATAAGCTACACTTAGGATTGAATGGTTTTTTGCATAAAGAAGAGAAAATCTTAATTTACTAACATAACACAGCTTATCCATTATCTTGGATGTACAGAAGGAACACTATACTCTTCTACATAATTCAAAGTAAAAAAAGCTCATTTTGTGTAGGCAAATATTCACTATTTATGATAATCAAGTTCAATGCAATACGGAGAAAGCGTAAACTATAATTGAATTTAAATCAAAATAATTCAATTTTCTACACAACAAAAAATAGATTTGATGAAAAAATAGGTCCAACCTACTTCTTAAGTTTATTAAAAATGCATGGTTCTCAATAAAAAAATAGACGAGTTTCCATTATAAATTACTGGTAAGATAAGCGCCTGGCACAAGGTAAGTTAAGATGTAATACAGCAAAACAAATGAAACTTACCTTCAGCTTATCTTTTACAGGATCCCTTGCTTGAGAAAAATCCTACAGAACCGACAATACTACTAATTAATGTATAGCATGAGTAAAAATAAGACTAAGAGCATGGTAGCACATTAAAAAAAACAATTAAAGCAACTTGATACTTTTGTAGAGTTGTATTTCAAATGCTAGCAAAGAAACAAACATGAAATATGCTACAAAAGCATATATAAGCTAGCCATAAAGAAAAAACAAATAATAAGAGTAAAAAGTAGCTTTGACACCTCTATGTCCTCGATGAAGCCTTCAATTGATCGATAAGGAGCATAAACAATAAGATCAAACCCGAGACTCTGGGCGATATCAGAACATTATAATCTCAGAAATGCACAAAAATATAAATTGACTGTAATTGTAGAATTAGAAATTGAAGCACCTGAAGAACAACCATTTCATTATTGAGAATCACTTGATGGTCCTGCTGAGCTGAATTCCCTTACCAAGTTCCTCTGCAGATACATGATTTTCTTCAACCTTGCATGAAGCGTATATACAAGTTAGCCTGCAAATGCACAGCCTCATGAATCAATCAAAATTTAAAACTACTGACCTATAGGTAGGAAGAAGTAACAATACATAAATGAAAGCTATCTATGTAAAGTACTAAATTTTAATAAACTGGATAGCTAAGAAAAACCAATAAGTCTTACATTATGTGTTTTGGGTGATGTTCCATAACAGACCATTGCAAATAAAACCTCTTGAAGTATATGATGGCTGTTCCCTGTAAGGTAAAGCACATTAATTTAGGAAGCGCTGATTCTGAAATACTAACCGAATACCTAGACAGCTACAAAAAATTTACTTGAATTTTATGGGGAAATTTGAATGCTCCACAGACTTCTTGAATCTTTTGTTCATAGAAAACCCGCATAAGCTGCTCTTCTTCACAGTTAAGAGGCTTTGCAGCTGAATGAAGAGGCAGAAAACAAATGCGATGATCAATGATAATCAAATAAAAAATGAGACTACAATTTATTTGTACCACAGGAGATAGGACGCATGAAGTTAATTATCAGGATTTGGCAGAGATAATGAAACAACAACCGCTATCTTTTGGACCCTGCAAGGGTTCGGGATATGAAATAGAGCCATCAACATCTACCTCTAATCTTGTTGACCCATACTACAAATCAAAAATATAAAAATTGCTGAAATTTTCCAAAGTATATGAATCAAAAAGGGAAGAATGGTGTTGAAGCGCACTTGTTCAAGCATCTTTCTTGCTCTCCAATTCGCAGCCTCTCGCTTTTCAAACTGCAGGAAGTTGGAAGAAAGAAAACGAAAAGAAAAATGTGAAAATTGCAAACCCTAAAGTTGTATCGCATTGCAACAGACATGAGGACAATTCAAATTAATACTGTAAGAGAAAGAATTTCTTTGCAGCAAGCTCAAGGCTTTGTGTGGCCTACATGCTCTGAGAACAGGAATCGCGATTTTTTTTCTTTCACTGAAGAGTGAAGTATTGATCAGTTATATGGAGTGAGGATTACCAGATCTCTTGGAGTGAGAATCCACTTCGCCCTGTGGGTGGACGTTTGGAAATCCGCCATCCCTAATCGAATCCTCGGCACCCAAGGAATGCCAGGAACTTCGACTCCAAAAAGCTATTAAGGTTTTAAAACTTCCAGAGACAGAGCAACCCCATCGCACCAGGAAATACATACGACATAATTCATGTGCACACTCAAATTTTGATTTTTTATATTTATAATATTTTGTTGAATTAAGATTAATCTTATGAGACATCCTGAATGATTGGAGGTAGGAACCAAGAGAGATAGAAAAGTAGAAATAAAATAAAAGAGCACACATAAACTTAACCCCTAAGACAAACAAGGTATTATGAGACACTCTGGCCTATTTTATATGCTGTAACTGAGGTTACAAGAAACCCTGCAAAAGTGGGCCTAGATGATAGAGCCTAAGATACCAGAGCCTAAAAGAGGCATAAGTCGAAGGCCTAAAAGCCCCTGATACATGCTATAGACCCCCTATTTATAGGATATAGAGGGGCATATTGGCTTGATTATAGTTCCTTGATGATTTCTAGAGATCTATTGAGTTGAATAGAGAGCCTCACATTGATAGTTGTGAGAATGCTTAGGTACTAGAGTTTATTTCGATCATTGACGTGAATGTATATTCCTTGTCAGCCTAGGTGGCCCTTTGGTTGTCAGATTGTCCTTTATGCGATCGATAATTCTACGGTCAGTCGGCTAGCTGTTGAACGACAGAAGGTTCTTCGTCTGATCGGTTTCATGAGTACTTATAGCTTTTCATTAGAGTGATGATCTTCATTTCGCCTTCAAATCTGGATTGTTAGATTATCTCAAGATTTGTGTCAATTATTTTTTTGTACATATTAAGTTCCCCAATTTTTTTTGCTCCTTCATAGTGACAGCTACGATAATAACAAAAAAATTCTAATGCAATAAATCAAATCTTAATAATCATAATTTAATGCAATGATTACACTCCCTAGATTTTCGTGTCCATGACTGGTTTTGATAGGGCGTAGTGGATAATTCTCAGTATCTCGAGTCTGTTATTCTATGCATTTACTCGGTTTTTGTGTTGTCCTTATGGACAAGGAATTTTATTCAAAGTTTAAGTTTGTTTATTGGGCAAAGAGCCGGTTGTCCTTGGAGTAAAGAAGCAATGTTGGCCAAAAGGTGAGCTAATAAAGAAGAAATGGGAGAAGAATTGGCCAAGAACCCAAATCCCTCTGGACAAGTGGAGATGGAAGAGTTTTCATATGCAAGTTGGGATACTGCTAAGAAATTTTAATCCAGCATTGGGGAGAAGTTGGGTAGTTTGGTGGCTGGTCCATCCATAAAGGCTTTGTTGAGTTTCAAAGTCTACCGAAAAATGCAAGTAATCCTCCATCAACTGATGTACCAGAATTTGGTGGGGTGATTGGTCGATCAGGGAGAATGAACCAGCTTATGACTTCTCATCATTGGATGTAGGAGAGCTACTTGGTTTGAGGTAGATCAGATCATGTTTATGTGTTTTTTTTTTCTATCTTTTATTTAGTTTTTTTTATCCGTGCTCATCAGTTTTTATATCTTTTAGAAGAAAACGTTTAAATAGGGGGTTTGCTAATGGTTGGCGATAGCCGAAATGCGAGTGTAGTTGCGACTTCCGTGCTCCAAGCACTAGTCCGCATTGAGGAGAATTTGGTGAACCACCCGATCGATTGACATGCATCAATTATATGTATTTTCACCTCTATTTTATTCTACATTTTACTTATTATTTTTATTGATTTATCATAGATTGACACTCGAGAAAGGCTTTAGTTGATGTTGTGCAGGTTGTAGGTGTGGAAAATTTGGAACGAAACAAATCAAGAAAAAAGTGGCATAAAGAGGTGTGAACGTACCACCTGATCGAGAGCTATAGTGTGACCATGCTATTTATGGTGTGACCACACCATAATCCACAGACCTACGATGTGACCATGTTAGAGTTGGACATGACCATGCCGCTCTATTCTTTCTTAGGTTGAAAATTTTTTGTGCTTCCTCATTAGGTTTTCTTCTTCTTTAGGTTGAAACCTTTAAGGGGCTTTTTTTAGTTTCTTGTCTTGTAAGCTGTGAGAGAATATTATATAAGAAGAAGGGTTATTGTTGTTGTGGAGAAAACAAGTTATTGTAAGTTTAATATGCTTTTGTTTCTTGCAATGAAATCCTAAATAATTGTCTTTACTATGGTTTTCTCGATGATGTGTGACTAATTTCTTCATCGTTTCTCTATAATTTAGGGGTAGTGGATTTAATCATAATTTTATAAATTGTTTTTCCTATAGCATTTTTCCATATGCGTTCATGGCCAATATTGTTGGTCAACCTATGAACTTCATTTACTTTTAGTCTGGTGAACTAGGATGTTAAAATATTTAGTGAAGCTACAACCTCTAATCATTGCGTAGTGAAAACAAAGGGTTAACTACAAAATCTTGAACAGATAGAAATATTCCAGTGGGATTCAAGAATCTTTTCAGGGGATTGGAGTAGTGATGCAGAAGTCATGGGGATCAAGGGAGCCTCAAATTTATGGATTATAAGTTTCTTTTGACCTAGAAATAAGTATAAGAACTAGTATATCCCTGATTGACAATAACCTCATAAGAAAACATTTAGGAAAGCCACGATTAACACAGTCCCCAAATCACAGAGGCACAAACCTCATCATTCTTGAAAGAGCTCTTAAGATTTTTCCTTGTTATTTTTGTTTTTATTGTATGCTTGCTACTCTACATTCAATAGGATTTTTAGGACCTAAAACCTTCTTTGCAAAATCACCAAGCTAGGTTCGTCAGATTAGTAAACTAGAGATTTTTCTACAGGAATAATGCTAAGCATTTCCTCATTGGATTGATATGCAGACTTTTAGACTGCATACTGCTTGACATTTGAACTTGTGTTTTACGACCAACTTACTTTGAAGTAAGTTTTGGTACGTTAAGTTTTTGGCATCGTTGCACAAAAAAGACATTAATAATTATTGTTAATTTTATGATAACTTTAGTTGAAAGCTAGTTTGGCACTTTTTTTTACTATTTTTCTTATTTATTTTGTGTTTTGTTATTTTTATCATTGTATATGTATTACTATTGTGTTTTCTTTAAGGTGATATAAAAAATTAAAAAGCTTAAAAAAAGTATAAATCCAAAAAGCAAAAAAAAAAAATTTGCAGTTAAATTTTTTGTATTTTCTTTTTTTTCATATTGTGTTTGCATCATATGTGTGTTTATTGGCTGACTCGTGTGGGTCATTGTTACTGATTGTTGCATAATTTTATTAAATTATCTTTTTATGTTTAGGGGAGCTGAGGTTGAACTCGCCTCTTTTGAACCTGAGATCAATCACACCTTTAAACATCTTAGGAGAGCACATTCACATACTGAAACACTCATTGAAATGACTAACCCTAACACGCCCATCTTGAAACTACTTAAGGACTATGCCAACCCTTCTGTCGAAGAAGTCAATGTGATCATCAATTATCCATCTGTAGAAGCCAACACTTTTGAATTGAAACCTGTCATAATCTAGATGGTTCAAAACAATCGGTTTGAGTGACTTTCTTCTGAAGTCTCAAACATTCACTTAGACAACTTCCTTGAACATTATGCCACATTTTTGTACAACAGCGTCCCTATCGATATAGCTAAATATAGGCTTTTCCCTTTTTTTTTAAGGGACAAAAATAAGGTATGGCTTAACTCCTTTGCCCCAGGATCAATCAACACCTGGAATGACCTGGCTAAAAAATTTCTAGTAAAATATTTTCCTCCATCAAAGACTATTAAGCTCTGGAACGACATTATCTCATTCACCTAAATTGATGGAAAATCTATTTACGAAGATTGGGATAGATTCAGGGAATTACTTAAGAAGTGCCTACACCATGCTCTACTTGATTGGTTCATTATTCATACTTATTATAACAGATTGATAGGTTTTGTGAAGTTCATAACAGATGAAGCAGCAGAATGATCATTGATGTCTAAACCTTTTGATGAATCATACGAACTGATAGAGGAAATGACCACAAATAACTTGCTAAGAGAGTTGCACCCCAGAAAGTAGCGAGCGTGCATGAATATGATATATTAGATATCCCTGTAACCTAATTAGTTATTATTTCTAGGAAGTTAGATGATTTGCGGATGAATTCAATGCAAGGAAATCCACCTAGCGATGGACTAATACTTGGACCGGTGTTAGATCCAAGCAAGTTTCATTAGAATTTATTAATTCCACAGGAAATAATGGCCACAATCCATATTCCAATACCTACAACTCTGACTGGAGAAACCATCTAAACTTCTCTTGGAACAATAACAACCAACAGTGGAGAAATACTAAGAACAACCCGGTAGGTAGTTGGCCAAACCAAGGAAATGACCCCAAGAAGCAGCAATACCCACCTGAATTCCAAGCTAACTCCCAACCGATCCCATAGAAATTGTCAATCAAAGAGTTAGTTTTTTAAATGGGGAATGCTTTACAGAGCCAAGTTGTAGCCATAAAAAATCTTGAAACTCAATTAGGATAGCTAGAGAATTCTACAAAAAGAGACACTTGGGAGCACTGCCAAGTAACACTGAACTGAACCCAAAAGAAAAGGGAGTGAGCAAGTTCAAGTGGCAAAATTGAGGAGTGAAAAAGAGAGAGAAGCAACTCCTAAGAGAGAAGATCCTGTTGACATAGATCCAACGTTGGGAAGTGAACCAAAAACTCAAGGAAAGGAGGTAGAGAGACCTTTCTCACCTATTAAAATTGACCCCAAAGAAAGATTGCCACCATGCCGATCAATTCTTCATCATTTTGAAAAAAAAATATAATATGTATATAATTTTTATTTTGAAAATGGCATTTTAATTTTGAAAAATGAGATCAAATAGATCTCATTTGTCTAATATCACAAATAATCAATCACAATACTACAAATGCTAGCCATTCTGAGATATGAACACATCACTCAAAATTTGGCTCAATTATATAAACTAAGAAATTTATGAAACCTGTTTGGTCTGCAAAATTTGTGACCGATAATTCCCTTATCTAATATAAGGACTAGATAGGGTTTAAATTATCTAGGTTCATAATTCCCTATAGAGGAGCAAGAAATACGGGATGTCACAGGTTTA